ATTAGTAGTTTCCTTCAGGTAATGTTCTCGGAGAAGAACTTTGAAGACTTTTTTATTTGCGGCATTCTTAATATCGTTGAGGAGGGTGTTCCAAAGTTGTATAGCTTGTATCGTAAAAGACGACCTAAAAAAAATTTGACTTATGCTGTGGAAACCTTAACCTCAGACGGTTTGACTGTCGGGATGTTCGACCGTCGATCGGATGAAGAAAATGAAAATTATCCTTAAGATAAGAGGGCGACCTTGGATCGTTTAAAATTGAATAAAGTACAAGTAAAATTCTAGAGCATCGCCTTTGACGTATGGGTAGCCATTTAAGCTTTGAACGATAGGATGATATGTGGTCATACTTACGTAAACCAAAAATTATTAACTTGCCGACCATCTCGTATATGGCCGCGAGGGCTCAAAGAGTACAAAATTTGGACTCGAAATATTATGTCTCTTCTGAATCTTTAAAAACCTAGCCCAATTGACCCTTGAAACTGTTTATCACAATAAATCACTTAAGATCTGGTTCGATACACCAGGCTTAAACCATTCTGAAATCTTAATCCGGGCTAAAAAAAAGTAAAAATAAATTGCGCAATGTGGCTCTAATAGGACACTATCGTCTTAAAAAGCACATGTCCATCCTGGGACTAAGCAACTCTCGCTTTTATAAATCCTACATGATTGCGGACAATTAATGCGCGAACGTAACCATCATCTGGGAAACAATTTCTAGCAACACCTTCAATTCATTGAAGACATGGGGCTTAACAGTTAACTATAGCCATAGCAGCGATCACAATAGATCTTTTTCGGTCTCAGTGATTCTGGTCTTTAGATCTGCATAGCTATCGCACAAAAAAAAACATTAAATACTTCTTAGTGTTACTACTAGTATTTCTTAGTATTTGCTTCATGGGTTATTGGTTTTAAAGGGACAAGCCCCCATCAAATGACTCTAAATAGGTCAATGCTTAGATTAAGTAAAAGAAAAAACGGTACTATATAATAAAGAGCCGTGTAAGAATATACACTACCCATTTCATCGCGTGGGCGTTCTGCCAAACGTGACAACTATGGCAAATATTCTCCTTGTGATGTGATTCCTTTTCTTACGGGGAGGTCTGTGTTCATCAGTAGACTTTGATATTCCGTATTAAATGAAAAATATTAAAAATAAACCGATAAGATACCCTATAATAATTTATGGGGAGGCCTATGTTTCTCCTGACCTGCCTCCCCCTGGATTGCCTAATTGGAAACGTATTTGCCAGCGTAGACACGCAATAAAAATAAAAATCTGACGCTTGCCAAACCGCCTGGCAGTTTTTTGTTATTATCGCGTTCTTACCTGAAAGATACTGCTGCTCCTCTCCTGTTTCAGTTTCCGAAGGGTTGATATGGAGTTGGGAGTTCTCTCACGGCGCTATTGTACGCCGTGATAAGCAACTGATTAATGCTTATTCTTAAAAGAAAAACACAATAAAATACTAAGCGTAATTAAAATACGCTTCCATAAATTAGTAGCACAACCAAGCAATATATCGACAGTCCTCGATATACTCGTGGGTACCAAGATACGCCTGTATCTCATCATATTATAAAACTCAGTGTGGCAAATATCTTGTTCTTATTTACTGATATTGATATAGACTCCGCTGAAATGACAATTATTAATAATTAGAAATTTATTTTTAATAATAATTAATTTTTAATTATTATTAAAACTTTATTATTATTATCAAAAATTAATCATTAATATACGCGATTTGTATATTTCACGTTATGTGATATAGAATTGCGGGAAGTGCCAACTCGCAGATGTTAAATCCATAATAAAGAAGGAAGAGGTAAGTAAGACATCCTATTCACATTAGGTCTCGAATTTTGAAAATATATCCAGACCTTAACACCAATTATAAGATCATTGTTATAAAGAGTGTAATGGAATAAGTGTTAATTCTTACGGTTTTATTTACGCATAGTTTTACAATTCAAGTCCGATAGATATCACGTAACTTAAAGATTTGTTTTCGATACAGTTAAAGGTACGGAAAAAAACTCTGTCCTAAGAAAACTAACAAGAAATCCAGCGGGATTTTTTTAATAACAGCTTATAATCATGTATGTTACAATTAACAACACAAAACAAATTAGAAGTAGCTAAGTAGCGATCACCCTTCCCAGGGGTTATTATCATCCATAAATTCCTTAACTTTTTGTATGAAAGGGTTATTATAATAACCCCTTTTATACAAACTTAGTTTAATAAAGTTTTTGAACTTTGAACTTTTAATAACACTAGCCTATCAATTTAATACAATTTTCAGCGGTACTGCGATTGCTAGCAATATAAGTTTTTCTTTTCTCATAGAGTGAATTTCTCTTTTTCCACTTTGATGCTGCTTTTTATTACCAGTTTGGGTATTATATATTTTTGGCTTATCCCATAGTTGCCTCATATGACACCCACGGTACGGAATGATGTGATAGATTCTCTATCGCCACCACCACACGGAAGGAAGTATACTTATTATTATATAACGGCTTAAGTATACATATTATTATCTAATCGCTTATCGCATTAAAAAATGATATGTTAGGTGGAATATGCAAATTTTTTTCTAAGTATAATGTCTCATCTGCACGGTACACGTTGTTGGCTGACGGACGAAACTCTGGCGACTGAATGATGGCGAAAATTTCGTCCAAAAATGCTGAACAAAAATTGAATACACTGCTTTTTATAGAAGGAAGGGTTATTAGATTTATGCTGGATGATTTTTTTATCGTCTGGAAAAAATAATAGAGTGTAACAGGTGAATATGGCACTGATATTTTACATTTTTTATTTGCTTCTACATTAACATAATTTGAAATTGAAATATCAATCAAATACTACTAATTTGAAATAAACTTTCGATAATAAAAAAATAAGAACAAAATTTTTTAACTAAATAAATAAATTAAAAATTATCGAAATTAAGATAATACGCACCCAGTTCGTAGTATTTATTGACACATCCTCTTCTATTTCGCTCACCTGTTACACCCAATTTTTTCCAGACGGTGAAAAAATCACCTACTCTATTAGATTACACAGTCAACTTCGTAAGATGAGTGCATTCTGTGGCCAATAGACGTCTAAATAACAGGACAAAATTTAGATACGTTGTCATCCCTGAGTATTGTGATGAAGTCTCGGTCGCAGTAAAAAGGGTTTTAGTTCCTCCAGCAAACGACAACGTTTTTTTTCCTTTTACCGACTGGTATTCTGTGCGAGCGTGTCTTCCATTGCCAATACACAGCCAGTATACACCTGCAGCTTGGCTTTATGTGATGGTAAGAATATTATCAGAGCAAAGATATCGGTTCTGCGTCACCAACTGGCCTAGGTGAGTCTAGTTTGGTGATTATGGCCAAACGCATTCTTGTAAAGGCATCTCCAGTAGATGACTAAAGAAAAGTGTTGTTTTTCTTGTTGATGGTGATGATGATGATTCCGTTACCGTTACCGTGACAGCGTAATAAAATCCACTGCCGAACATATGCCTCCCCGGGTATTAAATTATATTATAGATTGCGAATTATACATAGCGAGGATGTCTTCCATAGTTGTCACGCTTGGCTAGCGGATTGGCAACCACAGTTTTTATTTTCAGTCGTTATTAGAAAGACGCTGATGCAAATCTCCTGATTTGTTTCCCGCTGTCGCTTGTTATGATATCCACGGGATGATATGGTGTAGTGGATAGATGATTCCATTTGCACCAGAGACTTTTTTACTACTGGTGACACTTTTTACTATCGGAGACCCCTTTCATTACCGGAGGTGCTCTTTACTACCGGAGACGCTTTTTAACTGGAAACAAGTCATTCCAACTGAGTCCTGAGTACACCTGCTAACCTGCACCTTTAACTGGAAACGAGACATTCCATGGTTGTTATTTATATTGATAATTTATTATTTTCTAGGAAAACGGTACTAATTTGAGTAGATTATGAAAGTATTTTCTTCGGATAATACGATTTTGAAACTCACTACATATATAATGTTTTACACAACTAATTGATTTAAAGTTTGTTGTTCCCATATTGTGAACCTCAATCCCTGACTGACACTGTAACTAAATATTATACGAGATTATGATTTAAAGTAAAAGATGTGATTAAATGTATGGTTAAGTTACGGAATACGTAATTATAAATGAAAAGATTGATAATGTATAGTTGCGAGAGTAAGATAAAGAAAATTATCAGAGGTTAGTATATCCACATACAATCAGCCTGATCAGCTGAGAGTTTGGAAAACCTAAGAGCCGATTATTTTTTTAAGGTTGTTCGTATATGATTAAATGCGGAATAAGTTTTAATGTATTTTAATGAGGGAAATGATAATTTATTATGAATTGTATAGGAATATTGTCCACTATCTTGATCATGTATGTACGCGAGCCGTGTACGTGAAAGTTATGGTACAATTAAATAATGAATTACATGAGCTGAAATGTAAAGAAGTGAATTAAATGATATTGATAATTTTCTTGATCATGTATGTACGCGAGCCGTGTACGTGAAAGAAATGATATACTTACATGTTGTATAAGAAAAAAAAAGAATAAAATAAAATATTGAAATGTAAAAGATTATGAAGATTAAGAGAATATTATATATATTATCATTATTGTCCTAACTAGATAAATGGTAGGCATAATAACAAAATGATTAATGATACGAATAAATAATATTGTAAATTTTATGTTATACATAATTACGCCTGATTATATTCAAGCTTAGTCCGAGATAACTTGGTAGTATCGTCTACACCTTGCTCGATGAACGCGTCCTTTTAGAGTAGATCTAAAACAAAAAAGTTACAACACGAACGCAACCTAACGCTTCTCGAATGTCATTCGTTTTACCGCGTTTGATGAACAATCATCCATTTGCATTTGCGCACTAAATCTCGAAAGTTTTTGTACAATTTATTCTGGTTACGTTGGTTTAAAATGCCTAAAAGACGAAGGGAGTCAAAAGAAGAACGTTTAGAAAGGAAGTTGAACAAATATAAGAAAAAATATGAACGTTGTAAAAGACGTAAAGACGAACATTCAAAAGATAATAGAAACGAAAATGATGTTGGCGATATTGGTAAGTCTGTTTTTATCATGACTCAATTTATTATAATTAATCAATTGCATTATGCGGAACTTTATGGATATATAATATTTCATTAAAATAAAACAAAAAGTTTTAAAAGATCATTAAAATTAGCATGTAGACCGCCAATGTTTTCTAAAAAGTTTAAAATGAGGTTTACTTATCCTCAATTTTACCATCCAAAATTTTATGTGTATAAACTTTTGAGACTATCCCGTGGGGCATAGTCACGACTTTCCCGTGGGGATTAGTCGACCAGTCATAATATGCCTGGATACATATGTCACAAACTAGTAAAAGCGAGTGTCACTTTTGACTTATCCCGTGGGGATAATAGTCATGCCACACCATTTAATATGGAGACCTCTTAAAGTGAGTGTCACTATTAAACCATTATATTGGTACTATAGCAATCGAATATCATTAATTTATGGGCATTACATCTGTAAACAAAGGGGGGGAGAGAAATGAAGGCATAAATAAGAAAATTAGTATAATACAATACTACTATAATTATAAAATTTCAGTGGAAAGTATTGAATCAGAAGAGGAGATTATTCTGGAAAATATCGAACCAGAGGAGGAGGAGGAGGTAGAAATTATGGAAGTTAAAGAAGAACATTTAGAAGAGGATATTATAGAAGCCATGGGTCCTCCGATTAGTACTGAATCTTCATATGGTCAACCAATACATCCGGAGATCTATAAAAGGGTCGAAGGTATTTTGATGGAAGGCTTGACTAAAGAAAAGATTGAAACATATAAAAAAGAACAATTAATACCGGAAAATACCATTTTGTTAGAGGCACCACTACTGAATCCTGAATTACACATGATACAGGAGTCAGAAAAAACAAGAGATAAAAAAATTGAGAACCGCCAAAATTTATTAGGATTAGCCACAGGCACAATATTAAAATGTGTTGATAATTTAACCAAACAAAATTTTAATAAATTAGATATCATAAAAAACATGACAGAGGCGGCCAGGATTCTAGCCCATCTCCATTCAGAAGATACGGTAATAAGAAAAAATTTGTTAATACCTCACTTAGATAAAACCATATCTAAGACTCTTGCGGATCTCAAACGGGATAAATTCTTATTTGGAGAAAAATTGAGTGAATGTGTAAAGAGTGCAACAATTTTACAAAAATCTGCTTCAAATCTTCTAAAGAAATCTATTCCAAAACCTTTTAAGCCAAGGCAAAATTCTACTACAAAAAACTACTATCCCCCTCAACATCAAAGGACCCAGAGGAAGATGTTCAGGGGAAATCAAAATTTTCAACGGCCGGCAACCAAGGTCCAAGCACCGGCAGTGACTCGCAGCCAGCCTCACAAACAAAAGAATTACAGACAACAACGTGCCAAATACCCATAGAGGTAACACATTTTGCTGGTCGAATTAAACATTTTTATAACTGTTGGAATAAGCTTACAAATCATAACACTATTTTATCATGGATACAGGGCTATAAAATCCCTTTTATTGATAATCCAACTCAAAATTGCTTACCACTGAATGATAAGTTGTCAGGTTTAGAAGATAGGATTATATCTATAGAAATTAAAAAGTTAATGAAATTACATGCTATTTCACAGTGTACTCCTGTAAAAGGTCAATATTTATCGAATATTTTTTTGTATTCCAAAGCCTGATAAATCACATAGATTTATTTTAAATCTTAAGCCCCTAAATAAGTTCATAAATCCTCCACACTTCAAATTAGAAGATATTCGTACCTTATGCAAATTAGTGACTAAGGACAGTTATATGTGTACATTAGATATACAAAATGCATACTATTTAATTAATATTCATGATGATTTCAGAAAGTTTTTACGTTTTAAATATAAAGGAATCCTGTATGAGTTCAATTGTTTACCATTTGGATTGTCTACTGCGCCATATACTTTTACAAAATTATTAAAACCAGTAGTAGAACATCTCAGAAGTCAAGGCCTCATAAATGTTGCCTACTTAGATGATCTTAATTGCATAGGACTCTCTTATGCAGAGTGCCTAGACAATGTTCATAAAACTGTAAATTTACTCCAGTGTTTAGGTTTTATAATTAATATGAAAAAGAGTAATTTAATTCCATCACAAGAAAGAGAATATTTAGGTTTTGTCATTAATACACAAAAAATGATAATAAAACCCACAGAAAATAAAAAGAAATCTTTATTATCTGCAATACATAAATTTCTTAAATTAAAGTACTGTTCTATTAGAGAATTTGCTGCCTTGGTAGGTAGTTTTGTATCTATATGTATGGCAGTATCATATGGATTTGTATACACAAAAATATTTGAGAGGGAGAAATACATAGCTTTACAGAGATCAAATGGAGACTATGAAAAACAAATGAAAATAAATGAAAATGTGAAGTCAGATTTATCATGGTGGCAAAATAAGATTAATATCGCATATAATCCAATAAAACAGTATCAGTTTATATTAGAAATTTGGTCAGACGCTTCTAGTACGGGTTGGGGAGTACACTGTGATGGTAAAGTGGCACGAGGTTTTTGGTCCATTCAAGATAAACAAAATCATATAAATTATTTAGAACTCTTAGCAGCATACTTTGGTTTAAAATGTTTTGCAAAAGACTTAAAAAATTGTGAAATATTATTGAGAGTTGATAATACAACTGCAATTTCATATATTAATCGTATGGGGGGAGTTCAATATCCTAAGCTTAACAAATTATCTCGATTATTGTGGCAATTTTGTGAGAAGAGAATGATATGGGTTTTTGCCTCTTACATTAAATCAAAAGACAATAAAGAAGCAGATTTTGAGTCTCGAAATAGGAATATAGATGCTGAATGGGAACTATCAGATGACAGTTTTAACAGGGTGGTTACAATGTTTGGCCAGCCAGACATTGACCTTTTTGCATCTAGGATTAATACAAAATGCATTAAATATGTGTCATGGCAAAGAGATCCAGAAGCCTGGAATATAGATGCATTTACATTAAGATGGTCTGATTTCTACTTTTATGCATTTCCACCATTTTCAGTTCTTTTAAAAACAATTCAAAAAATTAAGAATGAAAAGGCAAGGGGCATCATTATTTTCCCTGTTTGGACTGCTCAGCCCTGGTATCCTATGATGAAATCAATGATAGACTCGGAAGTAATTTACTTTCCACCTTCATTAGAACTCTTATCTTCTCCTTTCAGGACACCTCACCCACTACATGCACAACTTACCCTGGGGGCATGCATATTATCAGGACAGCGTTCCAACTAAATAAAACCCCGGAGTCAGCATGTGATTTGATGTTAGCATCTCTGTCCTCAAATACATTAAAACAGTATAATACATGTTTAAAACAGTGGTGGTATTACTGTATGCAAAACAATCATGATATCTATAGGGCATCAGTGCCATATATAATAACATACTTAACAGAGTTATATAATAAAGGGTGTAGTTATCAGACCCTTAATTGCCATAGATCAACTCTTTCCTTAATAATAGGATCACATCTGGGAACAGATGAAACAATAAAAAAGGTGGTTTAAAGGAGTATATAGGCTTAGACCACAAACTCCAAAATATAGTGTGACATGGGACCCTTTAATAGTCCTAAATTTTTTGCAAAAATTGTATCCACTTGAATCACTTGCCTTAGATAAACTTACCAAAAAATGTGCTATGTTGATTGCACTCAGCACTGGGCAAAGGATACAAACACTATCTTTAATTAAATTGAGTGATGTAAATGTGACTGAGACACATGTTACAATACTGGTTTCAGACTTACTTAAAACATCGGCTCCTGGAAGACAACAGCCAATATTAATCCTACCATATTTTAAAGAAAAGCCTGAGATTTGCCCAGCAAAAACTTTGTTATTTTACATTGATACCACTAAAAAATTAAGAGATCAGGATGGAAGTACACAAAATATTTTTATAACATTTAGAAAACCGTATAGAGCAGCCACATGTCAAAGCATAAGTAGGTGGCTTAAACAAGTAATGAGCGAAAGTGGTATTGATACAAGCACATTTACTCCACATTCAACTAGACATGCCTCAACGTCTAGTGCTCTAAGACAAGGACTTACAATAGATAACATATTAAAGACAGTTGGATGGTCAGCAAACTCTCAAACATTTGCAAGGCATTATAATAGACCTCTGTTAAATGATAATCACCTGTTTGCAAAAACAATATGTAGGACAAACTCTACTTGATTAAAATTTAGTTTGAAAAATTATTTGTAATTTACATATAATTACTACTTAGTTGTGATAGCAACCTATTTTAATTTTTTGTTCAGTGAAGTAACATTTTAATAAAAGTTGATTTTCAAGTTTAGTATTCTTTGAATCTTTCTTTCTTATAATTTTAAGTTCCAATTTAATGTGCAAATGCAATGAGAATCTATATGTTTACTCATTAACTCTAAACATCTACCAAGTTATCTCGGACTAAGCTTGAATATAATTACATAATTAAACGAACTTACCTTAAGTGAAGTTCAATTTTAATTATATGAAGAGCTTAGTCCGAGATATAAATTTCCCACCCACCTCACTTAATAAGTTTGCAACTTATTAACCCAAGTAAACAGTAGATTCTAATATTTACTCTAAAAGGAATGACATTCGAGAAGCGTTAGGTTGCGTTCGTGTTGCAACTTTTTTGTTTTAGATCTACTCTAAAAGGACGCGTTCATCGAGCAAGGTGTAGACGATACTACCAAGTTATCTCGGACTAAGCTCTTCATATAATTAAAATTGAACTTCACTTAAGGTAAGTTCGTTTAATTATGTAATTATGCCGATCATACTATTGTGACTATACATTTTTGCGCTAGATATGTCTTAGATTATAGTTTTCATAATGATATTAACCTTTTTTAGAATAATCTTAAGGATATTTTAAGAATTGATAAAAAATATAGATAGCACATTTTTTTTATTCTTTTGTCGGTGGGAGGTGTAGTGTAGTGCTCCCACGTTAATATACTTTAGTGTTAAGCTAGAATAATGAGCAGTCTAATTAAAGTTATAGTACCAACAACACGTCTCCTTCATTGACACCTTTCCTATATTACAACATTTCAACAAAGCCTGAGTGCACCTGCTAACCTGCACCTTTAATTGAGGATAGGTTGGAGATGTGTATGGGTTTAAGCATCCATTTACCATCAGATGGACTTTGGGCTAGTTCATCACCCTTATTTTATAAAAAAATAATACAATGGTCATTTTCATACAAACAAACATCTCAGCTATCAATACTCGCGACACGACAACGAATCTCCCCGGAGCGTAATCCACAACAAGCCGCGACGAAGAATAACCAAGTGAATGCAAAATTAATATTATCATACAAATTCCCTCTCCTATATGAACAAAGCACCGTTACTGCCACGGTGTAAGTATGCAAAAATATAAGAACCATTTCTTTTGCCTTTCAAATGGTAACGCAAAGTATGAAAATGTATATTTGCTCGAGAGTATTTATCTCGCTCATAATTTACATTTGATACGTTAATAATGCTTGTAAACAATGCTGTAGTCTTCAGATGATCGCGGTTGTTATCATAAATAGAAAAATATTTAAATGTTCGTCTTGTAGACAAAAAGAATAAAAAGGATTAAACTTTCGTTTCAAATTTAATATTTAGGATATTCATTATGAGAATCTAAAATAAAAATAAAAAAACATGTTTACACAAAATCACAAACCCAGATTTGATTTATCTTGCAACTAAAACTATTTTTTAAGAGTATAATGATGACAAACGAGCACACAGTTCAACTGATGGTAAGTGGATGCTATGGCCCAAAAAGCAGATCTTTACCAGTAATAAGGGTCTCTGGTTTACTACACTCACCGTGTACGTATATATACAACGACATACGAAACACCACTTTTGAGCTGCTATGTTACGCTAGTACTCTGTGAGAGCGTAGTCCTTGTCCAATCGAGCTGATTCATTCAACATAACATAGCTAGCATAGCATGGTTCTACCACGTAACGAAGTTGAAAATTTATTTTAGGTTTCACATGTCTGTTTCAAGAACTTACGCAGAAAATATGCGAACTAAAATGTAATGTATGGATTTCGTGAGCGTTATGTCAAATTTCTGAACTTCTTTCGTGACTAATATACTTCTTTAACCCGAAATTATTAATAAGTTACGTTTTGACGGTTTTATTACAAACTGGGAAGCTGCTTCCTTTCACTGTTCTCGTAGTGTTTTACGCCTGGCTTACGCCACACACATAATATTTACGTTGCAATTTATCGGAAGTTAAAAAAACTTGCATTTGTCAAGTCAAGCATTTCTTTTCGCATTAGTCATGAAATAAAAAGTAAGAAAGGAAAGGAGTTAAAAGTAA